CGTTCATTCCAATAAGCAATATATAGTAAAGCGCTGACGAACAAAAGTCACATTCTCACCCCCCCATATACGGACAAAAGCGTGAAATCTACCAATGAATTTTAGAATTTATATAAATACCTGAATGTAAGAATAGCTTCTAAATATAAACATTGGCTCAAAAAATTCTAAAACGTTTATCCGATAAAGCAATTTATGTGTATGTATTAATAAAATACATGATCCAATGATTGTACTTCGTATAGGAACATGAATGCTAAATACACATACATTTACAAGGAGTAATATAATTGACAAACTATCAATATATATATAGACAGACGAGCCATATGTTATACATAGAACAGATCCATATATAGACAGACTATCTATTGTAAATCTCTTCATAGAGACAAAACATATATAATTATAAAACCTGTGTAGAATCTTTCAGACGTTCATGATCTATTCAGCGATAAGAGTGCAACTACAGGACAGTCTTTTGCTTGCTGTTTGATTATCACCAGTAAAACGCATCTTTCCAAATTATATCATAACTTAAAAATATTTGATATTTCGCGTGTAAGACCGCATACGCATGTACTATAATCGTCATAATAATAAAACAAACAATATTACAACAGATATAAATCGAATGAATAGTTAAGTATGATATCTGTGGCAAGACTGTGTGCTGGCATTTTGTGTATATAACAATAATGTGTAAAAAAAGCGAATCGCGTAAACAATCATTTTTTGAATATTAAAATTATACCAAAAGAAAAGCGTGCAAAGGCCGAAGCTGTAACGCATACATCGTAAGACACACTAGCGTGGCGTACGTACGTAAGCCAGACTCACAAACCTTGTATAAAGACGCATGTACGTGAGTCCGCAAGCGCACGCATAATTATATTATATATATATATAGTAAATATATATATATATATATATATAGTAACATCTGTATGCTTTGGTCTACACTGCTGTAAGCTGCTCATGCATTTCAATTGCAGAGCGTAATAAATTGTAGATAGCATTAAACACCAAGACACACTTTTTGCTTGTTACTCAGACAGTTATCAGCGCCTTGCGCGATCATCAGAACACAACTTTAAATGAATAATAAACCTTGTATACATTCCATAATCCAATAAACTATGATATGCGCTATTGATTTTAGTTATCTATGTTTTATGTAGTTCTAGTAAACTATAAGCTCGCGTTAACGGTTGCCATGCGGAAACGCGTACGCGGCCATAGTTACCAAAGTCAGTAGATCAATATTTATATGGGTTGTTCTGCTGGTATATTGTTGTTACCGAACTTTAACTTTTTGTTTGTTCTAATCTTGTGAACATTTGGTAACTAATGGCCGGCGTACGGTTCCCGCAGGCAACGTACGCGAGCTATAAGTTACTAGAAGCTCATAACAATAATAAACTAAAAAATCAATAGCGCTATCATCGTTTATATGGATTGGAATGTATACATCAGGTTTCAGGTTATATCATTAACGATTGTCTGATGATCTGCGCAACGCTGGTGAAACTCTGAGTAACAGGCAAAGTGGATGTTCTTGTGTTTTAATCTATCTACACCCAATATTATAATATATAATATAGACTAGCTGATGGACCGCGTTGCTCGGTAAAAACGCGTAAGGAACAACTTTTAAGAGCAAATTCAGCCAGCATAACTTACTTAATTGCCCATGTTTCAATACACACACACTGTCAC